ATATATATATATATATAATTTTGCCAGCAAATGTTGGTATTGCTTGTTGTCCAAGAATAGTAACTGAGGCCACACTAGTTTAACTATGGACTTTCCTAGAAAACAAAAAAACAACAACTTAATGCTAATCAATTGCTAAGAACCTGTGCTACACAAATATTTGGGAGACTGAACTGATAATGTCTGTMCTAGCTTCAGTACAGGTTTGGACAATTTGATTGATTTATTTAAACCAAAAAAAAATGTTGTTTGTTCAGTTTAAATTAATCCATGTGGACACGTGGACACCAATAAGCAAAACAATTCTATTTTCATGTTGTTTTATAACGTATTATGAAAGCTGCATTTGTTTATGATGTGCCGTACCTTTAAGAGCTCCTGGCTCGGCCCATTCCAAAGAGGATGGACCCATTAGACTGATGAAGAGAGAGAGGGAGAGGGGGAGAGAGAGAGGGAAAACAAGAAGAGGGAAAAGGAACATAAAACAAAGAAAACTGCATATACGGTGACACAAGTGGGACAAGAAGAGGACAATAATAAGAAAACCTAAACAGAAAAAAAATGACCTCCGAGGAATAGAGTTGTTAAAAGACTGTAATAATGTGAAAGCAGACGGACACTTAGAGATATAGAGAGGACAGGAAGTAGCTATCTCTCCATCGCTCATGGTGTTATAGGCGTCTATGGGTCTGTCAGTCAATCAGGACGACAGGCAGACACATGAACTCTCTCTGGCTCTCACATGCACTCATGACTTTGCTGTGTGTGTGTCTGCAGATGGCAAACCTTGTGACATCGTTGTGCTGTGTGGTTCTGGCTGCGGTGGTTGTAGCATACGCTCAGAGACGCATTCAGCTTGGTGAGTATGCATTTCATCTTTTTTATTACATCATTTTCATTTCTCTGCTGAGGCCTACTTCAAGTCTAGTTCATTTTAGTCTGGTGGTCAGCCTGGTGGACTTTTYGCTATCCTCTAACAGTAGATATGATCTGCAGGTATTTTATTGCACTTTACTTTTMATACCAACTTAGTTGTGCTTCTAGTTATCACTATAGTTTTTAACTCTTTATTGTTGCCCACTACTGAAGGTGATGCAATAAGGATTTTGCCTGTCTGTATGTTCATTGGCCAGTGCTGTTATCAAAATATGTCATGAACCACTGAAGACATTTGATTTGAACTTGCTGTAGAAAACGGTACCCACAGGATCGTCCAGGTTTAATTTCATTTTCCACTTTATCCTACTAAAAAAAGAAATTGAGGTAAATCAGTTTAGTGTAGCTAACTAACCTGTACACATTATAAATATTTATATAAAAAAAATGTAAAAAACACAGGGTAAACTAAGTTGTTATCAGATCAAGTGGTAGTTATGAACATGTAGAGGTGTGGGACAGAGAGATTAATCATTATTTAGGTTGGATTTCTGGAACAAACACGCTGATGTTTTATATGTAACCAGCTGCCAGGAACTTTACAAAAAATAAATGTTGTCTGACAGTAGAAGGTGGTATAATTTTAGAGGCTGATTTACCTTTAAAATGTTCAAAGTACACAGAGCAATGGTAACATTGGGCCTCATGCAAGAACATGTTCGTATTCTTATCCTAAATTTCTCTTACTTTTCTTCGAATGAAGGGTTCGTACGAACATGTCACGTCAGATTCAACAAACTCTTCTATCTTCAGGAAAAGTGTGTAAATGAGCTGCATAAATTCCAACTGTTCTATCCAGCTGCTCGTGCACGCAAGAGGAGATTAGCATAATTACCACCCCAAAAACACCATATAATTCAATTCAATTCAAT